CTGGAGCTGAAGAGCAACCGCCTTCTCGATCACCTTGCTCAAAAATGGTAATAATGATACCGGCCTATAGTTCTTCATATCCAGGGGGTCCAGGGAAGGTTTTTTCAGAAGCGGCCTAACAGCTTGTACACAGCAGCCTCACATTTTGGGAAGAGAAGGAGCAGTGACCATAGCCACCAAATCCTTCCCTTATCTGGCCAATCAATCAATCAATCAATCAATATTTAAAAATCCAGTGAGACAGATCACACAACCATGGATGGCCATCTGTCAGGGATGCTTTGATTGGGAGTTCCTGCATGGCAGGGGGTTGGACTGGATGGCCCTTGTGGTCTCTTTCAACTCTATGATTCTATGAAAGCACAGACTAATTTTGCAAAAAAGTGTTATAGAATCATAGAATCATAGAGTTGGAAAAGACCACAAATGCCATCCAGCCCAACCCCCTGCCATGCAGGAACTCAAACGTGTTGATGTGTAATGGATAATCCTCCTGAACAATCATTAGGGGGTACAATCATTATATTGCAGTGTTGTTAATACTTGGGACTTTATCACACCAGCCTGCTGTCCTGACACAATCATACTAATTTAAGGATGGAAGCATACCGGTTTAGCATAATTTCTTATCATACTTTCCCCATGATAGCCCTTTGGCAATCCATGGTTGTGTGATCTGTCTTCTGCACTTTCAAATGCTACCTTCTGGGGGGAAGGTTGGGAATGAGTGATCACAATTGCCAACCATCTCTTGGAACTGGCTCTTGTGTGAATGTGCACAGAGCAGCTGGCTTTGGGAAGGTTTTGGTGGTTATGGTCACTGCTCCTTCTCTTCCCAAAATGTGAGGCTGCTGTGTACATGTTCACATAGCAGCCCTGCACTTCTGAGTGGGGATGGGCACAAGCAATTGTGGCTCCCAACATGCCAGACAGCTGATCAACATGGAGTCCGAGCTCCTGTTTCTGACCTCAGCAGAAGTGGTGGCACACTGAGCAGGCTTTACATGGAGCTCCTGCCCATAAGGAATGGCAGTGACAGCTCTGAAAATAGCCCACCAGGACTGCAGCTTCACTAGCCAAGGACCTTCCTGCAAAAACCTGGCTGGCACCATTGCTTAGGTCAGAATTGGGCACTTGTACAATCAACAAGGAGGAAGCAGAGCAAACCCTTATTGATCACAACCCCATGTGTTGGGGTTTCCAAAAACATACCTGCAAGTGGTCAAAAAATAATAATTACCTGCCTGCCAATGTTGACCCCAACACACAGTTTCAAAACAGTTCTGAGGGCCTTGTTATGCATATGAAACTGTTTGAACTGTTTCTTCACATCCATGTTTTGTGCTAGGCATTCACAATAAGACAGTTTAGGAAACTTGCTCAGAAAAGTTCTGCTCACTTACTTCATAAGCTCTGGGTCCTCTTTGTCATCCTTTGTGGGAGTAATCTTGATTCCACTTTTCTTGGCACGAGGGCAGCCTGATAGACTATATTTTTCAAAAGAGAAGAGGAAAGAACATCATCTTTGCAACTATCTGGCAGCACATAGCTTGGTTTCAGACCTCAGTCGCCTTTGAATTTTATTAATGGTTTGTCCTGTCTCATGGGCACACAATAGGAAAAAGCACAATGCTCTGTCCTAAATGCAAATATTCTGAATTAGATAAAGAATGCAAGATCAGCCAAAGTTGGATAATGAAGTGGAGAGTGAGGGGAAGGAAAATAAAATTCTATTAAATTTATCTATTCTTTCATCTTTAATGTTCTCAACTTCATACAAGGAATTTCCCACAGCCAAATGTGAATGCCAACCACCAGTAGTGAAGGGCAACAGTATGATGTGCAGAAGTCTCAGGATGACAATATCAAAGATATTGCTCATAATCCTTCTATGTAAGCCCTTTTCCTGCTTATCTCCATCATATCTCTGAAACATGCACCACTACCAAAATCTTTGATTCTCTCTCTTCTTCCTACATTAAAGCGATTACTGAATCTTGCCATCTTTTCTTTCTTTTCAGCATTGCAATATTGTTAACATACTCACTCCTACATGCATTCTTGCTCTTGTAGCCTTGTTTCAGGCCAGGATGGGGAATGTGAGGCATGTCATGAGATTTAAATTTCCTTGGAATGATCACCACACATGCATATTGCATATGAAACCAGCATGAGGCCAATGGAAACACTCTGAAGACTTAAATATTTTTGTTGCATTGCTCTAAGTCCTATGTTGGGACAAATGTGTGATATAAATATAAATACAGATAAATAAAATTCCCTTGTCCCATTCTTGCTTTGTTGAACTTCCTTCAAACTGGCTAAGTATAAACATACCTTATATCTTTTTTTTATAAAGACTATAAAAGTGCTTCATGCAAGACTATCCCAGTAACAGTTGCAAAATCCTGTTAGGCCATTATCATTACTCTGGTGCTGATGGCAGCAATGAGGGCGAGAAACAGTGGGTGCATTTGGATACCACAAAAATGAGTTTGCTGATGCATGCTGCCTGTTCATTCTTGCTGTAAGAAGCAGTACCAGAACAAAGGGCAGACCTGAACAGATCTTCCTTTCATGTTTTAATTTTTGTAGTGTCCAATGTCTACATGAGCCACATGAACCAGTTTCTTCTTGCCCCCATGGTGCCCTGTCTTCACAACACAAGACCAAAGCCCCAATTTGCTTGTGGGCTGTCTTA